TACACCCTAAAGCTCTTACAGCCCTGAACCCTAAAGCCCTTACATTCTCAAACTAAAACCTAAATCCCTAAACCCTAAAAGCCCTTACATCCCGAAACCCGTTACATCCCTAAACCTAAATCCCTCAACCCTAAACATTAAACACCCTAAACCCTACAAGACCCTAAACCCTAAAGCCCTTACATCGCCCTTACATCCCTAAACCTAAATCATTCCTAAACCCTAAAAAACCCTAAACCATAAGCCTAAATCCCCTAGAAACCCTAAACCATGGAAGAACCAAAATGCTAAAGTCCTTACATCCCTAAACCTAAATGCCTTAAAAACCCTAAACCCTAAAAACTTGTCCTTGTCACATAGGGCCCTCGAACCCATAGGTTACTTAGTGGTCCTAGTCGGGGCGCTCGTGACACGCACTGTAGGAGTGGTAGAGATCTGAAGCTCGTTGCACACTCCTAGGGTTAAAATTGCTTATGGCTAGTTGTGCTTGAGCCGATCTTTATCACTTGCTCACAGTCGTCTTGTACTCAAGTCATCCTCGCTCTTGTGGGCACAGATCCTCAGCCATGCGAGAGGGAAAACCCTAAACCCTAAAGCCCTTACATCCCTAAATCTAAATCCTTTAAAACCCCTAAACCTTACAAGCGCTAAAACCTAAAGCCCTTGCATCCCTAAACCAGAATCCCCCTAAAGCCCTAAACCCTAAAGCCCTTACATCCCTAACCTAAACCCCCCTAAAAAACACAAACCCGACAACCCTAAACCCTCAAACCCTGACATCCTCAGACCTAAGAACCCTAAACCCTAGAAGCCCTAAGCTCTAAATCCCTTACACCCCTAAACCTAAATCCCCTAAAAAAAACCCTAAACCCTGAAAACCCCAAACCTTAAAGCCCTTACATCCCTAAACCTAAATCCCCGAAACACCCTAAACCCTCAAACCCTACAGCCCTTACATCCCTAAACCTAAGAACCCTAAACCCTACAAAGCCCTAAACCCTGATGCCCTTACATCCTTAAACCCATCACCTGAGGGAAAAAAGTTGGACCTCCGAACCCTGGGCTCCCTTTTAAGGCAACGAGCCAGGAGGTCCCAGGGCTTGGGTGTAGGTTTTAGGGTTTCGGGTTTAGGATTATTTTAGGGTTTAGGGTTTTTTGGGTTTCGGGTTTAGGAAGCTTGGGGGTGTAGGATTCTCGAATTTGGGGTTTAGGGGCCATAAGCGCTGGCGTCTGGAGCTTGGCTGAAGGGATTCAGGGCTTATTGCATTGCAGTCCCTGCTCAAAAAAACGGGTGTTGGGGTTCAGGTTTCAGGGTTCGGCTATTGGTCTCATTTAGGCAATCTTGCGCAGGAGATCGACTACAAAGCTGTTCCGATCCATTGCCAAGTTCTTCACAAGCTTCTTGCCCTTTTAAAGGGAACCGAACTCAGGCTTCGGAGTTTCCGGTTCAGGGTTTAGGTTTTAATGATTAATGTTCTGGGTTTGGGGTCCGGGGTGTAGGGTTTAGGGTCTTGCAGCCTAAAGCCCTGTAATCAGAACCTGCAACTGTGCTTTCGACTGTACCCTGCAATGCGGGCTCGATGCGGAAACCTGAGAGGACGTATGCACTTGAGTTTGGTTGGTAGAAGGCAGTCTAAGCCTACCTAACCAGGACTCGCTGCAATGGCACGCCACCTTGCAATGCGGGCTCGTCCTTGCTAAGTGGGAGGGAACAAACCCCGTAAAGCCAAGAATACTGTTCAGAGCCAAGGCGGCGTGCAGAAAGCAAGGTCCATTTGGCTCCAAGCCGTCTTCGCTGTTTTGCTCATCGTGGTTGGTCGCTCGGCTCCGGGGCGATAAGGGACCAAACTCCCCTCGAAAGTAGTCCTTTGCATTCGCATCACAAGCTTGTCAAGTGCGCATGTTCCTAAGAGCTGCGTTCAATTCGCGCTGACCCCGGGATGCTTCTACGATGACTACTCTGAAATACTTTTGCAATTATTGGTCAGCTCTGAAAACAGATTGCAAAGCTTAACCGTGAAGCTGCAGGGTTCAGAGCTAGCAGCCAGCCCGTTGTGGAGTTTAGCCATTAAGGATTTCAGCCACTAGTTGCTGGCGAACATGGGCTCTACCTCTACCACTGAGCAGGAAGCAACAAGCCGTCGAATCAACCGTTACACCCTACACGATAGGAGGAAGCTAGTTGAAAAGGCATACACCTTGAAATCAGTCCACAACACATCATCCAAGCATGGGGCCAATGGCATACCCCCTCCTCCCAATGGGTGCGTTTGCACAGAAACGCTGTGCAACCATGAAACCAGTGGTGTTGTCCGCTTCGGATTTCTTCTCCGCAAGTTTGGACAGTGGAGGGGAAAACGCAGACAACTCAGTAATTTAGGGTGTTGAGGTTCGGGCTTTAGGTCCTTAAGGTGTGTGGAATCTGGCAGTCAGCTAAGTTCTTGGATGCAGGCCCTTTGTAACCGGATCTTCGGAAAATTTCCAGACAACAGAGATTACTTGTGTTCTTGACTGCCGGTCCTGTTGGAAAGGTCGTCCCGACATGTTCCATCGGTATGACTGTCATCCGGACGCATACCTTGAAGTCGAAGATGGTTGTGAGGAATTTGACCAGACGCTAAATCCCCGGAGTCACGAATTACATACAAACTGCCGTTTGCACCTGTCCTAAGTAAATCTGGGTAACTTCCGCAACAAGCGATCACCACAGCATTCTCGGTTTGACAGCCCACTCAACATCTCGAATCTTGTCCGTTACACTGACCGTGATCTGATGCCCGATGCCTGGTAAGGAAGCTTGGCGCATGGGCTGATCCTGTTGAGGCTACGAGAAATGGATGCGGAGGCCAACAAGGACTTGGGCCCACATGACACGGAACAGCTTTGGATCTCTGCCTTCTGCAGTGACGCACCGCACCACGAAAGCACACTTGTATGTGACTGTGGTGTTGCCTGTTCTTATTGATGGCGCGACCGATGATGCTGCTCCTGATGGTTCTTTCTGGAGTCGCGAAACTTTCAGTGCTACTGCTATTGCACAGCTACTGTTCCTGTTACTACTGCTGCTGCTGGTGCAGCAATGCTATATCGACAGCGTTTACTGTTAACGGCCCTGGTGCTGCGAACACTACTGCTAGTACTCATGTTGCTCCTGCTGCTGCTGCATTTGAGTTTTTGTCAGGGGCGTGCCGCCGAAGGCATGGCAGAGAACCTGGTTCTGCTGCTGTTCATGATCTGCGCCTTTGCTCAAGGGCATGCCCACCCCACCCTCCCTGCCTCGCTTTGGGTTAGGGGTCCCTTCTGCACCATGCATGTCTATCCGCACTTTCATGTGACCTGACTCGTGCAATCTCACTTGCTCCCATGGTTCGACCCGATGCTGCTTACTAGTGCAGTTCTTGACAGAGGTATCGTGGTAACAACAAGATTCCGCAGTTGTTCCTCTCCTTGGGGCCATCTTCGCTTTAACAAGACATGGCGGTGCAACCGTTGTCTCGTATGTGGAGTTGAGATAGCACATGAAAGCCCATAGCCTTGCTCGTGGATGGACTTTTATGGGCTTGGGAGAGTCTCACCTGACTTGATGAAGGCCCGTGAAACAGCTTGAGGTGCGGGGGTCAGAAACGAAAATCTGCGATGTATTTCAAATCGTGCAATCGTCATGTGTGCTGGCATCCAACCGAAAGCATCGCTTCAAACATTTCAAGGCGATTCTTCAATTCGCTCATTACTCGTAGGAACAAGGGCAGATACTGCAAGTTAAGGTGGTTCTGAGGTTGTGCTATCTCGCTGGCTTAATGTATAACTGAATATTCGGGAATTAATGCCGTTTCTTAAGGTTCCTTGTTATAGCTATAGCACAATATACCCCGAAACCCTATCCAAAGTGGTAAGGCACCTGAGTGTGGCTGCTCAGCTGCCTGGTATGGCAGCCACTACTGACACATAATGACATACTTAGAAAGCTGAGGCAAGTTGATGCGACAAAACTTGCCATTGACATACCTCAAGCGAATCTTTGCTGCAACTTTGCTCTCCTGAGGGTTTGGGTTTATGCTTGTTATTCAGTGTTTAGCATAGCGAGCATGTCCGTGGAATACTTCGCTCAAGTTTGATAGATCCTTCTCCGCCGCTGCAGATGCTCGGACGGAATTATCAGCGTCGCATGTCTCACGTGCCGACTCGCATGAAGGTGAACTGCTTGTCGCAAGTGTTTTTCGAGTTTCCCACTTGTTTTGCGTTTCAGCACACGCACAGGTTTTTTCAGCGAGCAAGAGACGCAAATGTATGTGAACATTCGATTGCAAAGCAGCTCTGGATCAATGTGGGTGACTGTCAAGCTGGCCGCCAGGGCCTCGGAGGAGTTAGCAGCGTGAGTTTTGCCCTGAACCCTTAAACCGCCAGCCATGCCGCGGCTGCGATGTGATGTCGGAATATTCACATAAGTTCCATGCCGAAGCCTCTGCCTAATTGCTCGTTTGGCTAAATTCATATAGAAAAGCACTTAGAGTGCACGCTGCGTGGCCACTGTGTGTTTAAGGTCTAGAGTCTAGCTGAAAGCTGTCCCGAGAAAGGGTCTTACACAGTGCAGTCAGTAGTGCCATTGGTCGGCTACTTGGAGAAGCTATCGTTCGACTGCCATGACCGAGCCGAAATCAAAGTAACCCTAAACCCTAAATCCTAAACCCCTGTAAGCCAAACCAGCGGCCAAGGTCATTATGCTTGGCTGGGGCCACTGGGTAGGATGCATCTTTCTTCTCCTCTCCTTTCTCAGAGAAGCTACCTCGGACGGCCTGCAGGATCGGGTCAATTAGGGTTCAAGATCTTGGGCTGAGCTTGCGGAAGACCTTGTCTGTTGACGTAAACAGAATTTGGGCCAAGGTGCAACCAATCCCGGAAGAAGGCCAATGAAAACAGTAGGAACCGTGATTAATGAGACTGTTAACCAACTTTCTAATAAGGCTCGATGAGCTGAATGCCTACTGCAGGACAGCCATTTCATGCAGCTGCATCAATACACGCGGATAGCGGAGCCTACTGACAGCGAGTGGTGGGGCAATTATCTGGCCTCTTCGGCAGCAGTATTGAATCTGCAGGCGGAGCTCGAGTAATAGTATATTTATATACCTTAGCCTACCAAAACCAACCCTTTTTGTAGGGCCCCTATAATTCCATATTAGGGTTTAATGAGAATCTACAGAAACCCGGATAATTATGGAAGCTCAAGGCAGTTGTTGCTCAGTTCTCAGTCAGATGCGTTAGCGACTGTACTCGGTTGAAGCACTTGGCCACGCCTGGCCAAAACCGATAAAACCGATAACTACAGGGTTTCGCAGTCTCAACATGGGATCAGGTTTCACAAGTTCAAGAATTCAAGCGCCCCGGAGTTTGAGACTAGTGAGTCACATAGTGACTGGTGACTAGAGCTGCGACCCCTCGGAGTTTGATGCTAGAGTTTTGGATGCTGCTTCTTCAGAGTTTAGGGTTTAGCTAGGGGGTCACCGTACCATAGCGTCAGAAAGCAGGCAGCTGATACCCGGTGCCAGGTCCGGGGGGCGCGTGGGTAGGTTTAATGTCGATGCATGACCAATTTCCCATATCAGTCCTTGGGCACCCCAAAACCGTATTCTAATTCTTCAGCCCCTTACCATATTATAGTAGTCTGAACCATCTGCAGCACATGGAGTACCCCAATCAACTTGAGAAGTCGTTCCTGTTGACTACACAAAACTCTATAAACCGTAAACCCCTATAGCCCTAAATCGTAAACCCGATCCTTTGCTCTGGATCTCGAGCCTACGTGTGAATCGGACTCGTGATCAAGGCTGCCTACTACAAGGCCTTCAACCGGCTCCTTGGATTAGGTGTCGGGTTTATGTAGGGTTTAGGGTTTAGGGTGAGCTTTGGGCTAAGCAAGCCGCCCATGCTTCAGCAGCCCCATGTTCACCAAAGCTAGACTGAAGAGTGGCCTCAGATGAGATTCCCTACACTAAACGCAAAAAGGCGTATGAGTGCTGGGCGTCATTCCAATACGATGCTTGCGCTTGCTTGAGACACCCGCGAGTTGCGTAGGCCTCTAGCCCACTGCTGTACCAGTTTTCTCACCTTGATTGCGAAATTCGGGCCAGGCGGGTTTGGCTAAATCAGGGCAATGCAAAAGATGGGATTTCTCCGGAGACGACAGCACTATAGGAACAACATATCAGGAACATCATCAAAATCACCCTGGCAAAAGCAGCAGTAATACTAGCACCTGCGAGAGATTATATTGGAGCAATAGCAATGATCATCACCATGGCAGTTTAGCGACAGCACGAGCCACAACAGACCCAGCCGGGTTTCTCAGTCAAGATCCACGACATGACGGCTTCGAGTGCAGTGATTTTGGTCGGCGGATGTAGTTTCTGGGGTTACTCGGCTCCCGATAGCTTGAACTCGAAATCTTGCTTCTTGAACCCTAATCTCTACATCGGCCAAGGAACTATGAGGGGTCAATGCCAGAGAGGCTTGAAGAGTTTGTTCTGATCCTGTTCGTTGCGGCTGGGCTGCTGGCGATGTGCCTCAGTGACCAACTTATGTCTTGCAGCCTTGTACATGATTGTTGATGATACCTGAACTCTAAGCTGAACGGTTAGCCCTCAACACAGATCCAGGCTGGCACTGTTACTGTTTCGTTTTCAGATGTCATCGTGTTTGCACAGCGATCGGCACTAAGCACCTGGATTCTCACAAGCTCTGACGGTCACCCATGCGCGACATGGTAAGACTCGGTAAGACCGTACTGAAGGAGAGCATTAGAGCATCGAGACTGAGCGAAATGTGAATGTTTGTTAGCAGTAACAAAGCGCATTCCGGCAAAAAGAAAAATTCCGACATGACACGGGTCTCACCAGCAACCAAAGGCTCAGAAAGATGTTGGTAAAGGCGGCTAGGCCACAAAGCCGTTGCACCTGGCTTCCCGGTACAGACGGGTGAGGGCTGACCCATGCACTCCAAGGAAATCCTATGTCATTGGATCTTTTTTCAAACTGCAGGAGCTGCTTTGGGTCTTGCAACGGCGCAGTGGTTTGGGAATTTGGTTGCATGCGTGAGGCAGCCAACTTGAGATTTCGGTTGTTTGCTATTTGCTGTTCGTCCCTTTCTATCGCACCTGGCAGATGTTGAAGAAGACCGCCAATGTACAACATACGACATTCCTTTATCCCGCAGGAGACGAAAAAGGATCTGGCGCGAGAGGTACAGCAACTCTTGAATCAAGCGCAGCTGGTCTGCCGGGGGCTTAGGAAACCCTCGGCATGAAATTACAGGCCCCTTTATAAGGGTCCTTATATCAAGGATGTTGCTATTTAGCAATCTGGTTAAGGTCTTCAGGGTGTCTCATGTCTTGAAGCCCAATTTGCTTCATGTTTCATCCGGTAGAGTCTCGGGGCGTTACATTGCTGACCGGAAGGTGATTCCTTGGACCTGCCACCGAGCATTCGCAAAGCGATCCGCAGCTTGGCAATGCAAAGTCTCGAGTTTAGGGTTTAGGGTTTTGGGTAATTAACGAGTTAGGGCGGTGAGGGTTCAGGGTATGACGGGATGACTACTACGAGCCGGATCTTATTTTCACTATTGCCTCAAGTGACTCAGCCTAAGCATTCGCACATGGCGCACGCCTTGACATCCACCAAGGACAGCACATGATGTTC